CAGGCCCTGTTCCCGCTGGGCCCGGCTGTGGAGAGAGCGGCTCTCCCAGGTGCTGCGCCCCCCGCCCCCACCCCTGTCCGCCCAGGCGTGTGTTGAGATTTCAAAACACCACGTGAGCCCACAGGGTTGACTGCTCCCCCCACGGCGGCTGCAGACTGAAGGTCCTTTGTTCCTGCCCAGTGACTCATGAGTGTCCTTTAAGAGAGAGGGAACAGCCGTGTTTTGACGGGGAAATACATAAAGAATGCGGCGCATTTTTCCCAACAGCCCTCAGGCCGTCCAGTTTAGGCGAACCCGCCAAGCGCAGGGCTGACCTTCCCCGCCAGGGCCTGGCCCGTGGGCGAGGGACACGCTGACCGGCGGGCAAGGCAGGCGGCGTTCCCAGGCTGTCAGCCCTCCCGCTGGAAAAGGGTTTCCTGTTCTAGAACGTGCTGCTCTGGTGCCTTCGCGCCCAGCAGCAGCGCACGTCGTAATCGTGAGAAGGTGACGTGCGTTCACTTAGCGCTGGCTGCGTGCGGGCCTGGGCTGCCTGCAGCGCTCCTTCCGTTCTCACGGCTTTCCTCCTGAAGGACGGAGGCCCAGAGGGGGTCGGAGGCCCAGAGTGAACGGCACAGCCCGAGTGCCAGCCAGGTGTCCGGCGACGGGGCCTGGGCTCTGCGTGGTGGTGGGGAGCCGCTCTCCCCTTCCCCCGCTGGGGGCTCCAGGCTGGCTGCCCTGCTCTGCACCTTCAGGGCGAGGCCCCCGCCTGTGGTTACAGGAGCAGCCGTGGGAGTGGGCCCTCATCAGCATGAGCAGGAAAAACAAGGTGCTCGCAGATTAAAATCCTAGTTCTAGCCCGGCTGGCGGGGCTCAGCGGTGGAGCATCGGCCTATGAACCAGGGTTTTGATTCCCGGTCAGGTCACAGACCCGGGTTGTGGGCTCGATCCCCAGTGGGGGGCATGCAGGAGGCAGCTGACCCATGATTCCCTCTCATCATGGATGTTTCTCTCTCTCCCTCTCCCCTCCCTGCTGAGATCAGTAAAAATATTTTTTAAAAATTGTAAATGGTGGAAGAGCATTTGACAACCGTGTGGCTGTAGGGATATCAGCTCTCGGACAAGAACTCGGGACCATCCCAGGATGAGCTTAAGGACAAAGACAGTGCATGCTGGGGCCTGAAGGGTGGGACTGACCACTTCGGTCCAGTGTGCGCGTGCGCCGGTGGGGAAGCGGGAACCACGTCCCCCGAGGCAGGGCCTGTCACTCAGGAAAGAGATGGGCCTGGGCTCAGGCGGCTCAAACGTCATCATCTCGCAGCAGCGAGCAGAAGGCAACGATGCAGCCCCCGAAACCGCTCCGACGGTAGACGGAGCCATTAGCTCATCCTTGGCCAAGACCTTGGTGGGCTCCGTGGCTGCCTCCCGGCTCGCTGTCCCACCGCAGGGCCCGACCTGACCCCCCCAGGGCCCAGGGCCAGGACCAGCCTGCCCCCCCCTTCCTGAATGGAGCACCCCAAGGTCACACAAGCCCCAAGGGCTCTGCCACGAGGTCACGGTGCACCCTCACCCGCCCCCGCCCGCCCAGGGTGGGGTGATGGAGTCTGTCGCAGGACCCGCTCTGATGCCTGACACGCTGTAAGCGCCCAGGCTGGTGGGAAGCCAGCCATCTGCCTTTCCGGCTGCTGCCAGGGGAGGCGCAGCACGTTTAATTCCCCGGGAAGATGAAATCAGACATCGCTCCGGCTCCTGGATGCGGCTCTGCTCATCCCCTGCCCCGGCCTCGGGCCTTTGCAGCGCGTGGCCTCCGCCGGCCTCTGAACCCGCTGGCCGCTGGGCGGGGGCCTGGTTCCAAGCCCAGTCCCAACACCACGTCCTCCCGGGTGCCGTCTCCGGCCTGGCATCACTCAGAGGTGCTCTCTCCTGCCCCTCACCCCAGAAACGTGGGGCAGCCGCGGGGCTGCTTGTCCTGCTCATGTCCTGCAGGCTTTGTCTCCCCTGGAAGGGATGGCATCCCTGGCGGGAGGGGCCCAGGCCGGAAGCCCAGTGCAGCCACGGCCTACAGGTGCACGGGCCTCACCCTCCCAGCCTGGGCGACGGGAATGACAGTGCGCACAGCAGGGTTTTCGTGGGGGCACCGCCCGGGACAGGTGAACGGCAAACCGCTCGGCCCAAAATAAGAGGCTCCGCACGTAGGCTGAGCGAGTGGACACAGGACGGAATGGATGGATGGATTTCCGTTCTCACCAGCGGGGTTTCCCTCGTCACCGCAGCAGAGCGTTGGCGGCTTGCGAGATCCCACGGTGGTGCAGACCCGGCTTCCAGAAAATCCAGCCTGGTCTTCGCCAGATCATCCAACGTGCAGCTGCTGAGCTGCTCACACAGGGCAGGACGCACCGATGACCAGCCAGCCGCGCCTCCCGCTCCTTCGCAAAGCCCACCCCTTCGAGCTGACCACAGCCCCACAGAGCCCGCGGGAGGTGGCACAGGCACTGACCCCTCCAGACACGGTGTCAGCTGCCCCCCCCCTAAGAAAGCCTAATAAATGCGAGAGGAAGGGTCCAAGCTCCACGCTGCACACCCTGCCCTGAGCTCAGTGAGGCGGTTAATGTAGACCTCCTGCAGCCTCGGCCCCAGCCAGGTGCGAAGTCAGGGCTCCACCATCACGGGGCGTGGAGGCTGCGGTAGAGTTCTTCTTCTCCTCCTCCTCCTCCCCCTCTTCCTCCTCCTCCTCCTCCTTCTCCTTCTTCTTAATATATTTGTATCAATTTCAGAGAGGATGGGAGAGAGAGATAGAAATATCAAGGATGAGAGAGAATCATGGATCGGCTGCCTCCTGCACGGCCCACACTGGAGACGGAGCCCCGCACAGGGCCTGGCACACAGTGCCCCATCCGTGGACACCCCAAAGGGCCTTGAATCTCCTCCTTGTGCGTGCGTGGACCCGAGGGCCTCCCGGCTCTGCCATGGCGATGTCCAGCTCACGACCAGCAGTATTTGCTTCTCGTTTTTCTTCGAAGCCTGGGAGCTGCTTCTTAGACGTGGCAGGGACCCATCCACCCACACCGTCTCCCGGCGGCTACGCCAAGGGGTCGGCATTTGCTCGGCTCTGCGCACCGTCACGCAGGCCCAGCCCTTCCAAGGAGGAGCCGCAAACGCTCCTGGACACAGAATTATCGGCCCAACAGCCCGGCCCGGACCACCTCCCCGCCTACCCCACCCACACCCCCCGCCCCAGCCCAACAGCCCGGACCCCCGCTGCCGAGTGTGGACTCCCCCCTTGGGAGGGAGCGGGGCCGCCTCTCCCCTCGAGCCCAGCAACCTGCTCCGTCCCAGCTGCAGCCCAGTCAGCGGGCGCCCAGGCTGAGCCGCCCTGACAGCTTCCGTGAGCAGCTCCAGGGACCAAAGCATTCGGGCGAGAAATGTTGGAAGGCAGCGCAGGGGTGGGGGGAATAACAGGAAGAAATGTGTTTTTCTTCTACGTTTCCACTCCAAGTGGGAAGTTTGCTCTGAGAGGCACTCAAAAGGCCTTCTTTGGCCATTAACTACACAAAATGAAAGGCACAAAGAAAGGTTTCCCTGTGGTAGACTTACACTGGGTGTTCAGGGGTGACGGAAACGTCTGACTAAGAACATCGTTACTGAGGAACTATTATGTGCCAAGTGTTTCACCTAAATAGTCTCCAGGGTTTCTTTGTTTTGGTTTGGTTTTTAAATATGTTTTTATTGGGTTTTTTTGTTTGTTTGTTTTTGGGGTTTTTTTTTTCAGAGAGAGGGGGAGAGGGCTAGAAACATTGATGAGAGAGAAATATCATTGGCTGTCTCCTACACGCACTCCACTGGGGTTCGAACCCGCAACCCGGGCATGTGCCCTGAGCATAATCTCCAGTTCTTAGAACGGCCCTGCCAGAAACGTGGCCACGCCCCTCCCCGGGTCCCATCTTCCCGATGGAGATGCTCCCAGAAAAACTTGCTCCCGATGACGGTTAGAAGGTGGCAGAGCCAGGATTTGAACTCTGGACTCCAAACCCTAGAAGTCGCTTTTTTTTTTTTTTTTGGTCTTCAACACTTTTATAACACCAATTCATGT